CCCCCCCACCCCCCCCCCCCGAGAGGAAAACAAGGAAATATATAATGTAGTACAAGATGGAAGTGGGAAAAAAAAATCAAGGATCCCACGAAGGAGAAAATCGATGATCAAAGATACCACAAAGCCAAACCTATCCGCAGACCCCGGATGCAAAAAGCAATTGATCCCAAAGCAGACACAAAACATTAAAAAAAAGGTAGTCCCTAGAAGAGAAAATAGAAAAAAAAAATAGACCCGAATCAATTAAGCATTGCCCTCCGAGCAAAAGAAAGATGAAATAATGCAGTGACGAACAAGCGCAAAGCTATCTAAAAATTGAAAGAAATATCATTCGTCATCACCATCACCTAGGCCCTGATCATATGTAATGATGACGTTCAACTTGAGGAGGAGCGGATACATAGTGAGGGTGGTAGGGATGTGAGTTGGACGTGTAGTCTGAGACAGCCATCAATGGATTGACCAACTGTGGCAGTCGACGCACTTGAGGCTGCTGCTGCTGCTGCTGCTGCTGAGCTTGCTGTTGGTGCTGCTGCTGCTGTTGGTGGTGCTGGTGCTGGTGCTGGTGCTGGTGGTGCTGCTGTCGCTGATATTGGGCATACTGATTCGGCGGAGTCGGGCTCTGGTGCATCATAGTCGACGATTGCAAAAGTGACGATGGCTGCGGCGGAGGGTCAGGCGCCTCCCATCCCCACTTTTCCTTAAGCTCTTTATACACGAAATTGACCCTCCATCCAGTTTCCTTCTTAATTTTGGTGAAAATTTCGAGAACCTCTTCCTGTTCCCGTCGAACAGTGAGACACTCAGCTGCAATTGCAAGCGACCTCAAGGCAACACTCGCAACCCCTCTATCCTTGACATGGGCTGCAATTCCGCAGATCAAGTGGGAATTAGTCATCTCCATATCGCGCATCTCATCCGACGCTCTTGGCATGAAAGGATTCATCTGAGCCAACAGGACCATGGCGGTATGGTAGAATAAGCGAGCCACGATGGCACACCTCTTGACGAGCCAAACCTCAGGAAAAGCCGACTTTGTAGTTGTCTGGTAGGAATGTAGGTATGCCATAGGGTGCATGCTGCGAGGTGTGTGGTCATTCCAAGCGATGCAAAGATCCCGTAGACGCTTCCACTCTTCATAGCGCTTTTGCGTCTCGCCGTTGAGGTACATATGTTCGGTAGCGGTTTTGGCCTCCTGCTGCTGCTTGGGAAGGGCAGCCCTGAAATTGGCAATCTTCGCCAGAACGAAAATAATCCTATACGCCCACAGCTCCTCCCTTCCTGGTTCACAGTACCGGCTAAAGTCCATGTCCACTCCCCACTCATCCGGCTCCCAAGCCACCGCCCAGTTAAAGTGCAGGCAGCTGAGCAATTCCATGCTCACGTTCAACCAAAAACAGGCTCCGCCTACGCCCCCTGTCCTTGCGCTCCACCTACACTCCTTCAAAAGCGCTCGGGCGCCCGCGATGTGGTTCATGCGCTGAAGCGCTCGTTCAGACATAATCTCATAGACATTGAGGATAACCGCTGTGGTTGCGCACATCTCGGTATCGCGGTTAGGATTCTGTAAAGAAGCCAAAAGAAGTCGCGTAGCTGTGTCGTAATAATTTAGCGCCTTGTCTTCATGATAAGCGGGGTTGACAAGCGTCAGATGACGGGCTCCGCAAGCCAGAAAGGCATTGAGAAGCATTGGCTCGTTCAAAGAAGAAAACGGCAATAAACGTGAAAACTGAATCGGGAACAATGTCAGTATGAAGCCTCCATTTTTCGGGGAGTTGAAGAGAGCGGTTACATGTTTGTATGGATCCATGCTATCCATCCATATCCCAACTTCTTCGACAAACACCTGCATGAACAGGGTCTCCTCCGTACTGTTTAGGTAGTTCCGCACCTCCTTCGGTGGTGGGGGCGGAGACATCGTATGGTCCGAATTTATGGTGGACGATGGCGGGGGTGGAGGGGGAGGTGGGGGGTGGGCGTATGCATGATGATACCCCTGTCTGTGATGCGGCTTCACTTCTTCGAAATTATTGACAGGTTCCCCTGTGTGAACTGGGGTTGGCAGAAGCGGGAGAATCGGCGGGAGAGTAGGGTGAGGAGCGGGGGCCGATGTCACGGTTGTAACGGTTGCCGTTTGTCGAGGGGTAGGGGGCGAGTTTCTTGTAGGTTTTGGCGGTGTCACACGAGCGAAGGCTGCATACCGACTAACACCACCGGCGTACTCAGAAGCGATGTCCCTCGACTCGTCCTGAAAATGTACTGTGGATGCGGCAATGTCAGCGTACCGGTTATATTTCGGTGAAGGGGCAATAGAGCCTACCCTTCCATTCGTGTGATATCGGAATCACGGGAGGCTGCTCGGTCTGGATGTCAATAAAATTAAGGCGCACACCACGCTTACATATCCTGCTGGATTTTCGACAGTTCTAAACCGGTGTTAGCCAGAGCTGCTGTTTCGTTTCAAAACAGTCGGGTCGCAGGCAATAAAACGAACCTGGCAATCCGGTGTTCCTTCATCGCCTATGGCAACAATGTCAGAAAATAATACCTCGGAAAATTAGAAATAGTGTGAAAGAAGACAAACATTTCAGATGACGTTCCCTGTGAAGATGTGTTAGCTATTGTTCGTAGGAATTATCAGACGGTAACGGATTGGGAGGGGGCTCAGCAAGCGTACCTGCAAGTAAGGCTAAATGCGAGAAGGAAAAAACCGTATTAGCTCGGAACGCCATGGGTTAATAGTAAAGGTGCAGATCTTACCATCCTACAAATTAAAGACAGTCGGTCAGTAAATTGATGGGGGATCGACCAACAAAAAAAAATCATATAAGAGATGAATTACCTGTCCGCACTCGCTTTGGCCGGTTAACGACGGCGTTCTCATCCGCAGCCATCAATCCCACCCTTCGCTTCACCCCGGCACGCAGTTCAGCCAGACGATTCGTCTTCTTCGTGCTGAGTCGGCGCGAAGAATCGGCGCCGAACGGCTTCGACAGAAGATTCTGCCTGGGTTGTGAAAGCGTAGCGACCGACGTGGTGACGGATTCCAGTGCTGGTAATGAAAATACCAGCCGGTTGGGAGGGCGTTGGCTCCTATGGGGTGGGGGACGAGAAGGCTTTTAGAGACAGAGGCGCCGCGTATCTCCTTTCCTTTCCCCTTCCTTACTTTTTTCCCTTCCCTATTCAATGACGATGATGATGGTGCAGGCAAGCACTCACTACCTTGTTCAGATGCGATAGATCCGATTGTTGAGCTGTGCTGCAAGCTGATTTGCTTCGTCTCTTCTTGCCCTGCTCTCGCTTGGACTTTTATCGATCCTCTTCTCCCTTCCCTTTCCTTGCTAATACCCAATGTCCTCTCTTCCTAGGCTTCCTTCACGGCCTGTCACACTGATTTCCAGATATCTTCCCTCTTATTCTCTTTCTTCAGCACGAACGATACTATACCAGTGGACGGTTAATAACGTGGCGTCATACGGTCGTATCCGCTAGGTCAAGCCGTCAAATGAGCTGCCCTGTGTATTGGACGTTCAAACCCCCTCTGCCCTCGTTTTCACGCACTCCCGTGGTCTCTAATCTGGACCGTCCAACTGTCGTCTCCAGGTGTCAACCCCACAAAGCACAGACCCTCAGAATGCAAAATCGTCGGTTGCTATGGACGTTCCTACTGTGGGGAGCCAACGATAGCTTCCGGGTGAGGAAATGAAATGTGAATTGAGATCCGAACCAAGAGAAGTCTCTTTCAAAAATGTGTCTTGTATGTAATCGAAGCTCTAGCAATTTGCCAAATATTATAAGATTGAGGTCGTATGGAAGGGGGATTTCACGAGAAAATGGGCGTAGGAGGGAAGATGGAGATAGAGGTGGTAAGCAGACGATAGTTGCTATGTAGGATCACGCAAGAAGGGTTGAGAGAGCGGCGGGTAGTTTTTTGGTCTCGGGACCTTGACGAGGGTGAAAACGTAGGGACGAATGGGGGACGGAGGAGGGGGAATGAGGGAGGGGTTCTCTAACAGAAGCGAGAAAAAAAATGAGGAGCAGGAAGGAGCAAGGGGATAGCTGGGTAGATATGGCTTAACAGTTCCAGCTGAGTGACAGAATCCACCGGGAGGTTTCTGATCTAGTTCCTCGCTCTTCCTCCCACCCCCACCACTCACCCCCCCCCGCCCCCCGGTCACTTTTTTTTCTCGCAGTCGCTCTATTTGCGGGACCCCTTGTAATAGTCTAGCCGGGCACTGGGAGGGAAACCCGCTAGATTCTTTCGGAAATAGATGAGAGAGGTAATAGAATTAGAGCTGTGCTGTGCTTGGACGTTAGTCCCTTCAAACTGCGGATTTCATGGCTTTGTGCAGGCTCCTTGTGGAGATCGCCGAACAAGAAAGAAGGAACATGAATGCACCGCTCGTCTGGTATCCCTTTCCCACCAAATGCAAGATTCTAGATTGAGGGGTCGCGCGTCTATGCATAGAACATCTCTAACGAACGCCTTGTCAATCGTAAGCGCTCTCGGTGCTGGTCTGGCAGGCTTTACTCCCTTCAACAGGGACACACCCACCCACCACCACCACCACCACCAGTAGCACCGCTGCCCTTCTTCCCTATTCCTCTATAATAATGCTGACAACCATGGACCAAAAAAGCAATCCACAGATCGTTGAGCAAAGGCACGGCAGTGTATCGTGTTTGTTTATTATGTATCTGGTACTGCACGATATAATTGCTTATTTATGAGAGTTGCTCTCTACGGTATCTGACCATAGTCGCCGGGTATCTCGTACCAAAGGAACCCCCTCACCCCCCCCCCCCATCTTTCAATTACCGGTACGCACTTGCCTCCCCGCCACCCTACGGCTCCCCCACCAAATTTTTATTTTTATTTAAAAAAAAAAAAAAAGAGTTCCGGTGCTCGGTGACAGCTGCGTATATGGATACAGCACCATGCGTGTCATCAGTTATTGTACCTGGATCTTCTTTACTTAGATTTGCAATGCCCATGTCCAAGAGACACGGCCGACGCCAGCGGCAAAACGGTTTCTCCTTTGAGGCTTTCGCCGTTGGGGCTTGAGGGGGTTACGCTGGGGTTGGGATTACGGTAGCATGTCTCCCGTCACTCGAGAGGCTGTGTGGGAGGTGCTTTTTGTGGTTGTCAATGCTGTAGGGGTCGGTGAGGCGGTGCAGGCAGGACGGGCTCGAAATTTAGGACAGGTCCAAAACGATAGTTGCTGGGTTAATTCTTATGGGATGACAGAAATACCGGTAACGCGGCTCACCAAGATAGAAACACCTGCATGTTCATCCTGGCGAACGAGAGGGTAAGTGAAGGGAGTTGACTGGGACTCGGGCGCTGCGATTTAATGGCTGCGAAAGAGGCTGAGTTTTCTGCCATGAGCTCCCGTCCACAGTAAGGCAGAAGAAGCATAGTATCTGGTTGGCTACCGGTACCGTATCGCACGCTTTGCCACACCCTGCCTAAAGCCGATTTATCCCGACGGGGGGGGATACGATGATTTCACAGACGCGAACCTGGGCCCGCTGTGTGGTCTTGTATTCCATTCCATCGGACCGGCTTCCTCGGTCTCTGGTCTACTCCTCGATGCCGTACGAGTACTTTACTGTACTCCTCATCCCGGGTGTGTATGATTGCTCACCTATCACACTTGCACCCTACGGTACGATACTCGTACCCTTCAGTGGTCGATTGTGATAGCATTACAGCACCGCTACATCGCCGTGCATAGACTACCGTCCTCGATGACTTTGCTCGTCTCAATGGTGCGTGGATCCCCATGCCGTCATCCATTATCCACCGACGCCATTTTACAGCCCCATATTTTTCCGTGGTGGTTGGTTTTCTTGTACCATATCTCAGGCGAGACTCTAACTTACTGTATCGGTAGGCGAGGAAGGCGGTAATCGCTGATCAATGCTATTCCATTACTAGCTTCCCGGGGGCTCCCGACTAGGATACGGTACTGTAAGCATACGGATTTCAAGGTGTTCATCCAATAACATCATCCTTGGCTTCTTGCTTCAGCCCACCCTTCCAATTGCTTCCCACCACCACGCAGCTTTTTCTCTCTCTTCCCCGAGACCCCTGTCTGGCCGCTGTCATTTTCTGCAAATTTCCGCCCTTGGCGGCAGAGAGCCTCACTACGGCCCGTGGATGGGGGGAACCCTTCCCTGGACAAGCCTTCTTAAGCAAGGGATACCGGTAATCTTGTGATATCGGACAATCCCACAAAAATCATTTGACTGATCCTGTGTGCGACGTATCATACTGTACCGTACATACCGCACCGTGCAAAAATGGATCCGAAATCTAACGCGCCGGGCGATGGCGCGATGGACAACACATACGGTACGGCGGGAGATGCAAAAAAAATCGTTTCAAAACACGGTGTTCATCTCCAAGTCATTTTTCCTCGATATAACATATTTCTCGCAACCACGATAGAGGTTTCCGGGACCCTTACTAGGGGAAGCGCTGGGAATAAAGGGGAGACTCATGGTATCTTTACCAGAGTAGGCAACGGCCGTTGCGGGTAGGTATGATGTGTTGGCCAAGATGTCAGCCATACATGCATTAACCGTTTGGGGATTGAGGTTCGGGGTTCGAGGCGGGATGGATGCAAATCTCCATTCCAGAAATGCATCAGTGAATCTTAACATTTTGACTTGGGGCGGGAGCGCTACTCAAATATTGTACTCGAGTATAGGCGAGATTGGGATTGATAGTACGGTACTCGTGCACACGCACGATCAACTACTGGCATGCTCTCTTTTTCGTAACATACTGGCTTTCCATGTTCTAGATGATGCCGAGATGAGCTACCGGCGGTGGTGGAGTGGGGTGTTGTGGCGCGAACCGGCGCGGTACGCACAGAGAGACGTTACCAATATTGTCTAACCAGCCGTCCCCCCCCCCGATGTGGGAAATTATTGGACAATATCCTGAGCCAGAGAGGAGGAATGGAACAGGTTGCGTTGGATGATAGGTGCAGCCTGGATTTCCTAATTGTGCCAATATTATGCTGAATGATGACTGCAGGAGGCTTGAGCCACATGCGTTTTTTTGGCTTCTTGATCCTCGGGGGAAGAGACTGCAGGGGCATCCGATTTAAGTTCATCCAACCCCGGCCCTTTCTCGCCGACGAGTCTTTATTTTCGCTGAAAGCGGTGCAACTCCTACCGTCTAAAAAAAAGAAGAAAAAGAAAGAGAAAAAGGAAGAAGCTGGGGAGGAGAAAAAACGAAAAGAATGAGGATGGATGAACGGAGTTCATGCAGCAACCCCCGGTAGAGTAGATCTTTCCCCTGTGCGATATACTGGTAATCCAACGAGATGGTTTCATTGATTCCTTCGTTAGAGCAAAATAAGGTACCCTTTTACTCCCCCCCTTTCCTTCCGCTTCCCCCGCACGTAGATTTTGCACCTGCGTTTTGAGGCCGAATGAAGCAGATATTCCGAAGCGATCTTCCCCCCAGAGCCTTGGGGATCTTGTGAAGGGGATTACCGGTAGTCCACCGACAAAAGAGACTGGCGAGCCCCTCGGTTTACGGTATCCGAGCTAGCCTACACGGGTAATGACGATTCGTGTCACTTTGGCTACCATACCGAAGATTTTGCGGCGCCAACATTTTATTGGTCACTGGTACTCGAGCACATAAATAAATTCAAGGTCAAGCATTAGTTTACTCAAATAGATACCTTACATTGTTTACAGTGTACCCTTAGAAAGAATGAAGGCCGTGGATATGGTGAAAATGACTTCTATTCTGAAGCATTTTCGAGGCCAGGTTTTTGCAGGTTTCGACACTGCCGCTAGTTGTCTAGCTTTATATCTGGCCCCGTTTCATACCCGATTTACTGCTTCAGGATTCAAGTCGAAGGCTTCC